ACAGATTTCCCTTGATCTATAAGAGCATTTTGTTAAGGGATTAGGGGTAGGGGACACTTTTAATGCCTTTTTATTTACCTGTGCGAGCAAGCTCTCCATTTGGGGGATATCGGAAAAAGACACGAGAGGCACGCGTGAGGAAACGCTAAAGCGGGGAACGGGGGTTTCACCGCTCACTTGGGTGTTCTCGCGCGGCTCGCTTCGCTTGCCCAAATGAGAGAACTTGCTCGTAGGCTACCTGTATTCTGACCTGTATTTTAGACCCTTGCGAACGTAGTCATAAAAATCTGAAAATGAACCAAGTTGCCCTTTACTTAATATTTGGGTGCAGGTGAGCTGGCAAAAATCCTAAAATTCATGCCCTGTTTAGGCTAACCCCTTCAGGGTTATTACCCTGTTTCTCCAGTTATTTTTTTGAGTGGAGAGGGTGGCTCCACACAGGCTTATACAAAGGACTAAATGTGCACCATCTTGTAGTCCTTGCTGCTGTATACTTAGAGCACAAAGAAATTTCATCAAGCAAATCATATCAAGGGTGCAGGCATTAGTTAGTTTATAATCAGGACAGACTCATCTGAATAATATTCCCTAATTAAGACATACCACAACTCCTCTATGAAGCTCCCTGCGGTGACTTGGGTTATTTCAAGCCCATTAGAGACAAGGGATTTATTAGAGGAGAGGCTTATTTGAGAGTGGAGGGGGGGGGGGTTGAGGCTTGAAAGAGGATTTTTGGTAGTTGCGCAAAATTGAATGGTAACTGGTTGTTGCAATACAAGTTCTTTTGGATTAACTCAGTCACTGAAATTACTTAAAAATTTCAATCTCTTTAATATAGAGGCAGTCAAAAATCCATACCCTGACTCTTGTTTGAAAGCCACTTTCTTCCATCCCCAATGTGGCCATGGTAGACAGGTTCATCTGTACAAAATCAACCTTGCATCTAAGTTCAGAATTTCAAAGACGTCTGGAGACTTCACAAAGTTGACATTGGATTATGCTTAAGGGAGGGTTGTTCGCAGGAGGTTGCTCGCACAAGAATGTTTGACTGTACAGAAAATTATTTTGTCACTATCTATAGAGTGAGGGAAAAGTAGACATGAGCAATTCAAGGAAGTAACAAAACAAAACCACAGAGTCTCAAAAGACTTTCTGAAAGCCTAGGTTACTATTATATTTTGGATTGTTGGTGAAATTGATTTCTTATGGCCTAACTCAATATTAGTGGAAACCACTATGGTTGGACAAGGAAGAAGATATACATGTAAAAGCTCAAACTTAATTTTATTTCCTTAAAATAGGACTCACACTGAATTTTGAATTGATATAGGCAAGGAAATTCCACACATGAATTAGAACAACATATAAATTGATTATTGTCAAATCTATTGAACACTTCTTTTTTTCTAGGTGTAACAGCAACAACATCAAATCCAACACCTAATCTAACCACTGCCACCCCATTAGCGGCCATCTCATCAACCTCAACCACTACTTCATCATCGAGAACTACATCGACCCCAATTCCATCATCCAGAACAACATCTACCACTATTTCATCATCCAGAACTACATCAACCACAGCATCATTACCCAGAACTACATCAACCGCAACTGCAACATCTACACCTTTATCAACTGCAACAAACACCACCAAGGACTGCATCAACTGCAACTACCTGTTCATCGTCCACAACTTCTTTAACTGGAACTACGTCATTCTTGACTTCGTCAATTGGAGTTACATCATCCCTGACTTCATCAACTGCAGCTACTTGCACATCATCTGCGACTTCATCAACTTGAACTATGTCAACCCTGACTTTATCAACTACCAGCTCATCGCATAGTTTCTTACCAGCTTTCACCTCATCAACAACCTCCTCTTCATCCACCATCCCATCAACAGCCATGCCATCACCTGCATTCTCCATTCATACAGGACTAGGTAAGGAGAGTTACAGCTCATAGGCAAATATTCTAGAGCGGGTGTCCGAAGTATCATCACTGTTAAGCAGCACACAATACACTGACTAGGCATACCGTAAGCAAGGTTCTTTTATCAGCCTAGGGACAATATACAGAACATATGCAGATACAATCCATATAACATTGCCCTCAGCTGTTCAGGGTGCGAACTTACTGACTCTGAGGTTGCACATATTTCATAAACATTGAAAATTATTTTTTCCATAAAATAAAAACTGTAAGAGTATAAAAACTAATCAAGGGAAAGTAAGTATCTACAATAATAAAATACTAACCTGGATGCAGCTGCTCACAGAGTCCAAATTCCACAAAAGTCCCCTGAATGGTACTCTTATGAAGGAACAGTTATAATCAGATATCAATAGTTATTATTATCATCGGTAATCACTATTTTTCATTATTCAAGAGCAATAGTTACATATACTTTTTTTTTGGGGGGGGGGAAGGTGGGAAGGTGGGGTCCCCTAATAAAAGATAAGATCAACATTATTTAACCACATTAGTCTAGGTCAACAAAACCTGGCTTCCATTAATTAGGGCACCCAAAATAAAGAACTAATAAAAATTAGTAATAGAAACAAAATGGAATTATTTGACTTAGCTTAATTTGAGTATATGTGCACGGTCATCATCTTCAATTAGCTCCTCTTATATTTAATTTACACAATATTTAGTCAGGGGTGCCCAATTGAGAGAGGCTGGTTTGAATGAGGCCTTTTTGATCGAGGGAGGCAGGAGAGGTAGGGGGTAGGAGAGTGGCTTTATGAAGTTTAAATTACAACTTCATGAAACAATAACCTTGGTATAATATAGTTTACTTGAGCATTTTTTGGTCTTAGTGAACAAACATGATTTATTTGTTGCTTATCTAATCTTGTGCCAGTTATATATACATCACTGCATGACTAATTATTGTTTCACTTTAACATAATTTAGGTTCAAGTAGTGCAATAGCAACACCCACATCAGCAACAGCCTCTATTACAGTTACGGCAACACCACTGTCAGTTCCTAGAGATGGTTGTAAGTTAACTGGAATTAAGTCTATGAGAGTTTAATTGTTACCTTAAAAAAAAATTGTTGCTTTGCACTCATTATCATTGCTAAATTGTAATTTTGTTGATGGGAGTATTTTCTCAGACAGAGCATTGAAAATCAATGTCATAATTAGCAAATACAGTAATTTTGTTTTGAATCTCTGAACATTTCCCGGAACATATTCTTGTGTTGCTGTTGAAGTACGTTGAAGTAAAATTAATATAACAAAACACTGAATGTCAGGCCCCTCGGGAAACCAGTTAGTTTTGTCTTACATCAAGCCCTTATGTTTCCCCAAATGAGTCTTAAAAGGTCTTGTTTAATACAATGAGCAGGTCCATGATCTGCTCTCACAAAGTCATGCTTCCATAATTTACAAGCAATAAAATGTCTGTTTGTTGATTGTCACTAAAATTGATGGAATTTTAATTTTAAGGACGATTTAAGTGCTCAATCCAGCACAACCCTTTTTTTACCAGTATCAACAAGAAGGCTCCTAGCAAGATTAGCTGGACAAAACAATGCAAATGATGGTGAGTGATATTTTTGTTATCTCTGGTTCTCTTAAAAAACATACGTTATATATAATACAAGGCTGTGCTGTAAAGAAAATTAAAGGGAGCCCAGTGCTCTTAATCTGTGAAACCATAGGTGCCCAGAATGTGATTTGTATGAAAACAACTAAGCTTTTCTAGTCGCCCAAGAGCAAAAGTTGGGCACCAGGGGCCACCGGGCTCTCCTACAGCACAGCCTCATATTATTATCAGAAAGTTATAAGCCCTTGTGAGTTTCTGATAATTATTATATAATAAATGTAAATAAACTGAATGAAGTCTACATACCTTCAAACAATAACCACTCCAGTAGAAGGGTTGTTACCGAGATTTCAATTCAATGGTAAACTGGTATGCATGCATTAAAAAGGCAATGAGTAGTTATTTTCTTTTGCTTTGTCTGTTTGTTTGTTTTACTTCCCATGCAGTTATTTTTGGAACTTGCTCAAAGTAACAGGCTGGGGAAATTCCTGTTTCCATGCCTAGTGACTGCTATACGTCTCCTTTTCTTGTTTTTTGGTCTTTTACAGGTGGTCTGAGTACCTCAGGGATTAATTGTTGAGCTAACTGCCAGCCCCTCCTTCTTCCTTGAGAAACTGAAACTGCTGCAAGAAAAAATAATGTTGACATGCATTTAACAATAAGCCCATCAAACTGTCGTCTAAGAACTCAAGGCATTGTTGATGGCTAATTTCAAATTCTATACCTTTCCCACAGACGTATCCCTGAGTCCACCCGAAGATGATGATCTGGTTGTCTTGGATCACAGTCCAACCCATTGTAAGAAAACACTGGTGTAATATAGAATCTAATACCATAAACTCCCATGAATTTTTTGGATTTTGGGAAATACGTTCCTGTATTCTGGGGTACTTATTGGCAAACTAGGCTAAGTTTATCAGTTCCTAATAACGATTCTCAATTTTTATACCACCAATATAATACTCTTTTGGGGATTTCCAGTTTTTCTGTTACACAACCTGTGACCTCGCAGCACTGACGAGGTCTGAATGGTCGAGGTGAAATATTTGTTTCATTTTCTTATTTTTTGGCACTGAGTTTATATTCTTAGGAATAACTTAATTAGACCCAGGCCCTCGCGGCTTGTCAGCTGTTTTCTTCACGGCGCTAGTTGTCATTTGATGTCCTTGTCAGTTCGCTCGTTCGCTGTAACATCAATTTTAGCATTTCGCTCCAGTTTCTTCAGTCTTTTAGCCTCTTATTATGTCTCAAGCCACCGGAAAACGTCGCACTCGAGTACCTGTGCTGCCTGCAGGGTTCGTTTACGATTTGCCTTCCCTCGCAAGACCGCAAAACAGTGCTACGAATGGCACTCCATCGCTAGACCAATCTCCTTCGCACAAGGTTCACACAACGCCACGTGTTGAGACCAGAGCTCCGGGTTCTTCTACTTCTACGCCTGGCAATTCCCCCTCCTTACATTTGCTGAACCTACAGATTGAAAAGCAACAGCTGGAGCTTCGCCTCCTTGAGCTCGAAGCTCAATCAAGAGCTCGGCAATTGGTTTCATCCAGCCCCGCCGCCAACAAGCCTCGAAACATTCCTTCTTTGGAGACCGTTCGTGGAGGAGTTAACTCTGGTAAGTCCCAAGGTCAACTCGACCACAATACACTCATCGTTAACCCCCAAGAATGGCCTCATCTTCACATTCCTTTCGGTCTGTCCTGAAAGAAGTTTAAGGATTTATCGACGGCAGAATTCGTGTATGGCTATCTCGATATCTTGTCTGCTTAGCCTTCCCCTCAGCAAGCGCTCATGACGCACCACCTCATGTCTTTAATGCGTTTGGCGTCCAAATACGACTGGGAAGCCCTGCTGTCCTTTCATGCTGCCGTGTTGGATCGCATCGAATCGGGCCTCGCAAGCTGGGGCGACGATTTCAGCGAAATCGAGCACTTCAACATCACAGAATCCAATCGCTTGCAATCCAAACCGGCTACTTCGCCCGCCTTTCACGCGGCTGGCTTTCGAAACAACAATGGCCGAGCTCGTACCTATTGCCGCGAATGGAACCGCACCGGTACGTGCAGTAACCCTTCGCACCAGGAAGGCGTCGAACATATTTGTGAATATTGCAAGCTCAAAGACCACACCATTGGCTCTTGCCCAACTCGCCCTCCGCCGCCCACCACAGCTGATTGACTATCTTCTCCAGCTCCCACATCTCTCCCATCGAACAGCATGTTTTCGCCCGCCGTTTCTTCGCCTGCTCCCGCCTCAACAGCCTTATAGTAGCCTCCTTTGCAGCCCAACCTTGTTCCCGCTCCCTCTACCGCATTTTCTGGCCAACTTTTACTCTCTCGTGAACACTCGCACGCCACAGTTATTGGTCACATTCTTTGCTCCAAGTCTCCGCTCCCGAACGCTTTTGGCACTCAAAATCCTGTTCCGTCGAAGCTGAACATTCCTGTTTGGAAATCATACCTCGAACATTACTCTGATTCTGTTGTTGCCGATTTCCTAGCCTTTGGATGGCCTATTAACTTTCACTCCGTCGTTTCTGTTTTATCGAAACGCGCTTACAGACAGATTCCAGTGGATCCTAGAGACTACATCTTTCTTGCGTATCACTGGTGCGACTCCTGTTATTTTGACGTTGTCCTCCCATTTGGTCTTCGTTCTGCAACCCTTGCCTGTCAGCGGACTACCAACGCGATTGCTCACATCTTTCACTCTTTCTTTGGCCATGACTGTATCAATTACATCGATGACTGACCATCGCAGTGCCTCCCGATAAACTTCAAGACACCGCCGATCTCATACGTGCTTGGCTAGCCACTCCATGGTCCACTAAGTCCGACCTTCAGTCTCTCATCGGCAAGCTTTCCTACCTTTGTGCTTGTATCAGCCCTGGACGGATTTTCATGCAGCGTCTGCTTAACGAACTCTGCCAGCTTTCCACAAAACGTGCACGTTTCGTGCCCAGTTCAGACATGCTGTCCGACTTACGTCGGTGGGACAAATTCCTCTCTGTCTACAATGGTGTTTCACTTTTGCGTTCTTCCCCTTGGCCAGTAAGCGATCATTTCTTCTGTACTGATGCTTGCCTTACCGGTATTGGCGGTTTCTTTTGTGGCCGTTTCTTCCACTCCTCGTTCCCAACCTGTTTTGATCCAGCCTCTCTTTCCATTGCTTCGCTCGAAATGTTGGCCGTCACCGTCAGCATCAAGCTGTGGTCTGAGGATTTGCGCGGTCTACGCATCTTGGTTCGCACTGACAACCTCAACACTGAGCTGGCTATCAACACTGGCCGTTCCCGTGTGCTTTTATTCAGTCGTGCCTACGCGACTTATGGTTCTACGCCTCCCTTCATGATTTTGAGCTGCAAGCACTCCATATTCCCGATTACGCTAACATCATTGCTGATGCTCTCAGTCATTGGGACAGTCATCCTGAGTTTCGAGACACCTCCTACGAGGCCGCTTCTCTTCACTATGACACCCTCACAGAGTACACTTGTCATTCAGACCTATTCCATTTTGACTGTCAATGGTAATCACCTCTCTATTTGGTTGCAGGTTTTCACCTTGATGACCTTGACTCCTGCGTCATAAGGATTCAAGCCTTCGCTCTGTCTGATTCTACCAAGCGAAATTATCATTCCGTCTGGAACACTTACTTAAAATTCTGCCCAATTTTACGCCATCACTCCCTTTCCAGCCTCCTCATCGACCATCGCTGTGTTTATCACCCTGCTTGGCTTCTCCGTTAAGTCACATTGCACAGTCAACAACTACTTGAGTGCCCTACGGTGTTTTGCCATTTCGAGACTTCAGCCTTCGATGACATCCATGTCAAGCTTACCCAAAAAGGTTTGGAGAAGTCTATGGTTCACCTTCCTCATCGGAAAGCACCTCTGACCCCAGGGTTTGGCAAATTTATTTAAAATTTATTTCCTTTGCCTACATGACTTGAAAGTCACACTGCCTAATTTGTTGCAATTGACTAAGATGCCTCATTCATTTGATTGCATGTAGATTCAAGTACAAGAGCTTCAATGACCCACACAGGTGACCAAACATTATATTGTATTATTGTGCCTTGGTGGATGTGACTTGGAAACATTTTATGGTATTGTTACTCAGATTTATACGTTAGACAAATTAATTTCACATAAAAACTGGACACTTCTATAAGTATAGGTTCTAATGTGTTGCCTGCATAAATCAAAAGTTAATTAAGCTGCTTGAGTAAATTAGATTCCAATTATGTTGATTCCACTTCAAGAGCCTCTGTCACCCAATTGACTAAGATGTCTCATTTATCTGATCGCACGTAGATTCAAATACAAGATCAGCTTCAACTATTCAAAGTGTTACTGCTCAACCATTTTCTAGTCAATATAGTGACTCGTTGGCAATCTCGTGCAGCGCCTACCGTACCTCCTACACCACGCCCACAGAAGCGTGCTGCCCCGGCGACGCGAGAATCTCACAAAGCAAAGAGGTCAAAATCAGCTGCCCAGGCCACAGTTCCTAATGCGGACAGCCGTCCACCCGCCTCAGAACATCCCTCCCAATCGGTCACTGTTCCAATTGCCGGCAATGAAGCAGCCCCTGCCTCAGTGGACATCGATGCCATAGTCTCCGAAGCCGTGCTAGGAGGACTTAAAGCAGCCGGCGTACTTTCTCAAGCTCAGAAGGAGCCAGATGGTTCGAACGCCACTACGGCTGCTGCTGTAGAGGGGTCAGTAGTGGCTGTAGTTCAGGACATTACCGGTGAGAGACCTCCTCCTCCAAACCCTTCGACTATAAGTACACCTGCTATCAATAAATAGCATAGCTCAGTCTAATGACCAGCCCCAGCTGATTCATTAACAAATCGCTGTACCTCTCGCCTCCAGGGTGTCTGATAAAATTCAATCAAAAATTTGGGCAAACGAGTATATTGATTTAGGAACCCTATTGCAAATAGCATCCCCAAACTAGTCACAGTACAATTTTGTTGTTCAAACGCCACACTCTTCAGATCGGCCTGTCATTAGCTTCGAGCCAGCACAGAAACCTAAGAGAATTGCCACTATAGACCAATGGATATCAGCCTTTCAAACATTTGTAGCTATTTATACGGTCCGATCACCAACCGATGCCCCAGCTTTAATGAAATATTCCGAGACAGTGCGGGACCTAGTGGCTAAGAACGCCCATTGGCGTTATTACGATGAAAACTTTCGATTTTTGAGGCAAAAAACTCTTTTTTCCCTAGGCACACCACATGCAAAAGTCCCCTACGGTAGTTTCTTCGGACTCACGCAACAGGCCTACAAGGTCGCCCTTTCCGTCCGTCTTTTGCTGGAGATTTCACAGAGGGGAAAAGTGTTCCGGCTGTAACTTTAAACACGAATGCTTTCGATGTGGATCTCATCATCCAGCCAACCAATGCCACTTTCCCAAGCAACAGGCAAATTCCACCAAAGCTGTATCGCGACCGAAATCCACAGCAGTCACCGCAAGTAACTCAGCCCCTACCTCCCGCACTGTCTCGTCCAAGTTTTTCTCAAAACGTGTGATGAATTGGGCGTTCCAATGGCTCCCGAGAAAACAGTAGGCCCTAGCTTCGTGTTGTCATTTGCGGGTATTGAACTTGATACACAGAACATGGAAGTACGGCTCCCTAGCGACAAACTTACTAAATGTCGTGACTCTTTTAAACATTTCCTTTGTCGGAAAAAGATAACTTTAAGAGAACTGCAATCTTTAATTGGTCTTCTCAATTTTACTTGTTCTGTCATAGTGCCAGGTCAGACTTTTTAACGCCGTTTAATTAACTTGACAGTAGGTGTCAAACGTCCTCGATATTTTATTCGTCTAAATCGGGAAACAAAATCTGACCTTAAATTATGGCTTACCTTTTTAGAATCATACAATGGCAGGTCTTTCTTTTTAGACTATAATTGGCTCTCGTCAGCCAAACTACATCTTTACACTAATGCAGCAGGTTCTTTAGGTTACGGCACAGTTTTTGGCTCGCATTGGCTTTATGGTCAATGGCCTTCAAACTGGCTAGGTCATAACATTATAGTGCTAGAGATGTTTCCGATCGTTATAAGTCTTTCAGTATGGGCGTCAGAACTGGCCAACAAATGCGTCCTTTCACACGGATAATCTAGGTCTAGTTGACGTTATTAACAAGAAAACTATGAAAGATAACAAGCTACTCGTCCTCTTGCGTGAACTAGTTTTACAATGTTTGAAACATAATATTTTATTTCGGTGGTCCACGTCCACGCTTTATCGCGCTTACAGGTCACGAAATTCAAGTCCCTGGGTCAGGGCATGGACCAGGAACAAACCTTAGGTCCACCACATCTTCTACCGGAGAGCTGGCCTCTGTAGCACAAACACTTCTATCCCCTAGTCTCACTAAGTGTTCCAAGGACGCTTACAAGCGCTCATGGAGCTTATTCATGAGATGGGCTCAGTCCTTTTTAGGTAACGAAGTCTTATGCTTACCTTTACAGCCCACTATTACAGTACTATTTGTTTCACATCTTTATTCGCATAATTATGCTTATTATATATGTACTGAGATTTACTGCAAAATGAATATGTCAAATAAAAATGATGCGTTGCAGAGTACACGCAATCTGATTGGTTGTATGATTTTTCTCACTAGTGAAAAATACCGTATGACCAATCACAACCCGCAGACGAAAGTTTTCACTAGTGACAAAAATCGTATCGATTTTCCCGCCTTTCACTGACGGCGTCACTAGGCAAAAGGAAAACCATGGCGTCTTCTTCGAGCAATTCAAGGTTTGCAGATATAACTTCAGTAGAGGAATTTATTGAAGGACAAGAAAACGAAAACACCAGGAAGAAAACTGAACAGAATGTTGCTTTGCTTAAGGAGTTTTTGAGGCTAAAAGATGAGTCAAGGCCTGTAGAAGAAATTCCCCCACACGAAGTGAGTTCATTCATCAGCGAATTTATCATAACAGTAAGAAAGAAAGAAAACAACGAAGATTACGAACCCACTTCCTTGCGTGCTATGATGGCCAGTTTTGAACGCTATTTAAAGAAGAAGAATTACGGCTACAGCATTATGAGAGACGTCGAGTTTGAAAAAGCACGAACGGCATTAAAATCAAAACAAAGAGATCTCAAGAAGAAAGGCAAAGGCGATAAACCAAACGCTTCAGTTCCCCTCACAGAAGACAACATAAAACTGCTGTATGACAAAGGATTGTTAGGAAAGTCAACTCCTGAGGCTCTACTGAATACAGTTTGGTTCAACAACACAGTCTATTTCGGTCTCCGTGGTTGTAAGGAACACAGAGACATGTGTTGGGGCGATGTGCAACTACGTCAAACTACAAATGGCGAGGAATTTTTAGAGTATACTGAGAGACAAACTAAGACTCGAACCGGAGAAAATCCCAGAGATGTCAGGCAAATAAAACCGAAAATTTTTTCGGTTCAGGGAAGTGAAAGAGATCCTGTCACTGTTTACAAATTCTACGCGGAGAAAAGACCGTCGGAAATGAACGACAACAACGCACCATTTTATCTAGCAGTAAATAACTGTAAAAAACAAGATTCTTCTAAACCATGGTTTAAAAAGTCAGCCGTTAGCGTGAACAAGCTGAATTCGTTAATGAAAAAAATGGCAGAAAAAGCCGGGCTGGGGCCCAATGTAAAGAACCATAGCGGTCGCAAAACAATGATCCAAACTTTAACAAACAACGACATCCCAGCGACAGATATTATTCAACTGTCGGGACATAAAAATCTTCAAAGTGTGACAAATTATTCTGTAGTTTCTGAAAAACAGCAAGTAAAAATGTCTCGTACTTTAAGTGAACTGATGTCCGGGAATGTGCATAGCTTAGAGAAAACTAATTCATCTCAAGTTGGAGAATGCTCCACTGATCCTTCAGCTAGCTCGGCGGGTCGCTCGGCGGCAGATCATCACCAACAAGCGATGTCGCTTTTCACGGGCGCTGTTATTCATGGAGGTCAATTCAGCATTTCTATTAACAGCCTCAATCAATCCCGAAGTTGGCAATCCAAGAAGTTGAGGTAAAGTCTTCTCCAAAGAGGTACAAAAGGCTAAAAGTACTGGACTCTGACTCTGATTAGAATGCATGCATTACTATAATTAGATTTACAAAACAGTCAACTTTTTCAAATTTTATATCTTAGTTACGGTTTTGAACGGCGATATTTAAAGCTGAAAATTTTCATTGTTATTTAAAGTTAAAGAATCGTTTAAAAGTAGACTTTGTTCCACTTTCTTCAGAGTCATTGAATAACTTTAATGTTGTAGGAAGTTTTGTACGTTCAGTTTGCTCGAATAAAATCATTCGCAACTCGTTGTGGTCTTTGTGTTGATTTCACCGCGCAATTGATAGTTGTTAACATTATTTTGTAATATCTCAGTACATATATAATAAACAAATTACCTCATGGTTGGTTCGCTTGTACAATTTTTATTCACGAGTTGTGAAGAATCGCAAACTCACTCGTTCGCTGCGCTCACTCGTTCGTTTTCGATTCTTCACAACTCGTGAATAAAAATCATACGCACTCACCAACCATGAGGTAATCTCTATTTCCTCCACTGTGACTAGTTATTTATCTGCTATTGGCTATGCCCATAAGTTAGAAGGTGTGAATGATCCAACGGTAACTGCGATCACTCGTCAAATTCTTAAAGGCTGTCGCAAGTTAGCACCGGTACGTGATGTACGTCTTCCTATTACACTACCAATCTTGCGGCAGCTTGTTGCCTCATTTCAGCACACTACAGTCAGCATACCAGTTTAAGATGTTTTCAGCTATGTGCTATATAGCCTTTTTTGCATTTTTACGTATCGGCGAGATAACAGTTGACGGAAGTGATCAGAGTAATCTGATTAGGCTTAATCAGCTTTCACGTTTAATGACAACCCAAGAGCAGGTCGTAGCTCTTCAACTGACAATTTGTAAATATAAGCACAGTACTAATGGGCGCCCATTTGTTATTGACATCTTTCAAGAAGACTCTTGTTGCCCGGTCAAAGCTGTCTTAGCGTTTATTTCTGTTAGAGGGACCACCAGTGGCCCCATGTTTTGCTGGCCGGGCGGGGCGCCCGTAAAAAGATCAATTTTTGTGGAACAACTTAATAGGGCTCTTAGATTTTGTAATCTTGACCCTAGCTTGTACAAAGCACACAGTTTTCGCATACGTACAGCCACTTGGGATGCTGCTAAAGGTCTTTCTGACGCACAAATTCACCAGTTAGGACGATGGAAGTCCAATGCATTTTTAAGCTATATTCGTACACCTAGTTTAACTACACATGCAGCTAGTTCATGAGTAGACTGTCCTCAAGCAGGTGCTGAGGAACTGTTTACTCTTCGCCTTTTTCTGGGTCATCAGTCTTCGGGTGGGGCGAGCCTCCCTACAGGAGGCTTGTGGCCTTTTTTCTCCGCCTTCACCTTTGCCAGAGCGTAAAAAATCAAATAATCATAGCTAATTAAATTTGTTTGAAGATGTTATATTTAATCAAGAAATCGGCCATCTTGCGTGGCCAAAATTATACCCAAACACATCGTTGTTCCTTATTTCTTTAAGCGCTCTTGCAAACATAGCTCGACTGATGACCCCAGAATTTAGCCAAAGGTTCTCTTTATAATAAGGGTATAAAAGAAAAGCGGGAAAGGAGGCATAAATGTTATTAGCATAAAAATATTGACTGTGTCCTTAATGGGTCTCAACAGGCCACTAGAAAAATAGTTGGTGGGAATTGCGAATCAACCAAAAGGTTTAGTTATAAATTAAGCAATTTCAGCTATTTCTATACATCTCTCCTTTATGCCAACGATCAGTTAGAAGGAATGTCTTGATTTAGCTTTATTTGTTCAGCTACAAAATTACTCATCCAGTCACATTGTTTGATTTCTCTATAATATCAACACCTACACTTATATAGCTGGAACAGTCAAGCAAGACCTTTTTGAGGGTCCACAATAGGTTTGGTGGGATGCGGGATTTGGCTATTTTTTTGTGGTGATATTCGGGATATGAGCTGAAAACAGAAGCGGGATGCGGGAATTTTAACAACCAGCGGGAGCGGGATTTCCTATTTTTATGGGGATGGGATTTGGGAATCGTAAGGAAAAAAGAGTGGGATATGGGAATTTAGTTTTGTCTTGACTAAAAATTCATTAGTGTTGACTGAAAAAAAATAGTTCTTAAGTGTGTATACTGCCTTTGTAGTCAATCTATGAGTGTCAAAGGAAGTGAAGCCCGTCAAATTTTGGCCATTATCACTTTTTTGTGTTGTTCGTCTTTTCCGGTTTTACTATTTTCGTTGTTTTCGTCACTCGGAAAGAGGTATCAAATCACTGAGGTTAGAAGTCACATTCGTTAAGATCCTGCACTCATTCCTGTTTTGTTGACGGATTTGACCTTTTCTGCTTTTGCCTGGACGGACCTGTCGGACCTGGACGATCCTTTGGACTGAGCGTTTGCTATTAAAGTAAGTCTGGCCACAGTATGGCCACACCAGAGCAGATAGAAGTGGACAATGTGGTAGACATCATAAATTGTGCGGCTTTATATTACGAGAAAGGTGCCAGTGGTAATGCGTTTCTTCGGAAAGAAAAATTTAGAGCTCCCGTCTCAAGGCAAGTGAAGACCTTGAAAGCCTTAAAAGAAACAGTCAGGTGAGTCGACCTGAGTTTACTGCTATCCATTATTTATTGTGTTATATCTGTTATAACCTGGGATATCAATGGCATTTGTGCCCCGCGCTACGGTCGGCGACTTAAGTGGTCTCACTAGCTTGCGAAAGTCAATTATTGTCAATATTGACGGCAAGTTAAGAATCGTTAAGCCTAAGTTTTTTGTTTTTATTTCATTCCTGATTTCAACCTTTCGCCTTTTGCAACATACCGTCGACTCCCGGTATCTCAAACCTCTATAATTCGAACCTCCCACTAACTCGAAGCAATTTTCATTTCCCTTCAGATTCTATAGATGGTTTTCACAGTGACGTCATCAAATTGTAAAGTCAAAATAGCGAGGTTTTACGAATTCTTATTTACACTAGGTTGAAGATAAACAAAAAGTTAATCTTTGTACAAGTTTTCAGTCCCATAGCATGTTTCATTTCGAAAATACAGCAATTTGAACTTCCGAGTTTTCAGAGTGCGTGACACCAAAATAGGAATGCTGTCTCGTTGAAAAAAAGTCTCTCCTCTTGATTTTCAGCAGTATAACCATTTCAAGTATTAGAAGATATGTTTATGCGCACGTAGGCTAGTTCTCGAGTGAAAAGAAGGAGCTTTTATAGAACAAGTGAACTCCTGATGTTTTTGTTGATTTTCGGCGGCCATATTGGTGCACCAAAACTGTGCACCAATATGGCGTCTCCATACAAAGCTGTACAAAGATGCGTGAAACGTTTCGGCAAATAACTCAAAAACTGTGGGCCAAAAAGACCTGAGACTTGGACAAATTGTTTAAAAATTAGTCTTTTATAAAATATCATTTTCTTGACTTCTTTCACTGGACAGTTTTCAATTTATTTTTTTGTTGCGTGACAGTGAAAACGATCTATATAATTTTACCCTCGATAACTCGAACCCCCGATAACTCGAACTTTTTCGTATTTCCCTTGAAGGTTCGAATTATCGGGAGTCGACTGTATACTATTCTAACCAGAGAAGGTGGACCTAGGAATTAAATGTATACTTATATATGACTATGTAAAGACTATATTAGTTTATAATCAGACCATACACGCATCAGTTGTCTTCATATGATAGATAAAGATACATTTTGTCCCGTGTCTATATTCTTTAGTCAATTTGGAGGGATTCGCGACGTTGCAAAAAATATTGGGCTTGGAAACCAAATCACCGTCAAAGTGGCCAGACTGGATAAAAGTGATAGCAAAAGTGCTCAGTGCTTTGCCATAAACACCGATGGGCAAGTTACCCTTGAGCTGCCGTCCATAAGGGCAGGGACAGATATGTTACAATGTAAGTGTTCATCAGTTTCACCGTTTTTTTCCTCTTAAAACGAGTGCTGAGTGTTTCTTACTATTGTAGACATTGTAGTGTATATCACACGGATGGTAGACTGTGTCAGTATCCTAAAATGCCGGTTTTTCTCAAAACTTTTTTCAAGTGTGTCATTCAACCATAAAATATCGGAGTGTTAATGAAGTTAAGATCGTCAAGATCGAAGTGCGTTGTGAAAATTTGTCATACCTAACCACTCGCTACTGGATGACTTACCATTTCTTTATCATAATTTGGTCAACTTCATTTTCAGTAATTGTGTATCCCACTGAAATTGCATTTGCCACAAGTTCGCAAAGAATTGTTGTCCAGGTGAAAAGAGTGGAGGGGGCAAGTGTTCCGCAACCAACACCTGCCCCTGACCACAACTCACATGTCACACTTACAGATGAAGAAAAATTAAAGCTAAACGAAGGTAAAAAAAAAGATGTGAACTTCGATTTTAGTATTTCAGATTGAATATGAAATTCAGTTGTGTTATATGAGTAACTGTGAAGAGCATTGCGTGCAAAAACAGGAGGGATTTAACGTTAAAGGCCCCAAAAGAAAACATTACACGCCCAGCAGGATTTACCTGTGGGTGTTTTTGACCCCCATATATGGAATAATTCATACTATCTTGGACGAAGTTGATATCGTTCGGACAAATTTCCAGATGCTTTGGTACTTTTTTTAAAAAAAGTCTAGTATGTTGACTTATGACTGTTCTGTATCTGTAATTAAAGCTTCTTGATGCCACCATCGAGGCCCTTCAAATCGAAGAACAGCAAATGACACAACGGTGCACAGAAGAAAAACAGAAAGTCCTGACTGCCATTGAAAATTGGAGAAGCTCATTCAAAGCGAGCGACCCCTCTTTGGATATCGAGGCGGACCAATTCGTCATATCGGCGAAATCTTTTGCGGATGACTTTTACTTCGAGTGCGCTGCAGAACGGACTTCTAAGCGGGTGGCGGAGGACATCAAAAAAACTGCAAAGGCCGCAAAGAAAACCGAAAGAATGGAGACGGAATTTGCCGTAAACGAGCAATCCATCCAAGACATGGTTCAGCGGGCAGTGCGACAGGAACTGCGTAAACAGAAGCCTGTCTCATCTCCACCAACAAAAGAGACCTCCGTTTCCCGTAAGAGCTCTAGAAGCCGTAAAAGTGATAGATCCAACTCTAGAGGCCGTAAAAACGACAGATCCAACTCTAGAGGCCGTAAAAATGACAAATCCAGCTCCAGAAACCGAAATCTTAGCCAAGGTCGTAACCGAAGAAATTCCACATCTCCCGGCGATAGCACACAAAACCAACGTAGCCGATCAAAACAACGGAGACAGCGAAAACCACGCCGCGTTAGCTTCTCTGGAAACCAGTCTCCTGGAAGACAGTCAAAAAACGTGCGAGGTCGCGGAAACGGTGTCGTAAAATAGACTCTAGAGGCATTTACGACAAATGGCTTGACAACATGGCTAGAAAACCCATCTTGGACTTGTTACCACGGAATTTGGAATTTCACAACCTATCACATGTCACCCTCACCGCGACGCAGTCACGAACTCTTGGCCTGGGCCTAAAATTTAGACCCACGCTTCGACCACCCGCTGCTCGCGTTTTTGAAAATCAAATACAGGATTTTTGTCGTAGCGTCCGACTGCATTATAAGTATGCTGATAAGCCCGATGACCCTGATTTCAATCCCAAACTATATGTGAAGTCAGGGTGGAATCCTCCACGGGAAGATCCTGACCTCGAGGAAAACCTGTACAAAATCCGCCAAGAGCTGCTGACAAACTTAAGCGACAACAGACCACTATGGAAAAATAACTTATCCCGCGAAGAACGAAGTGGCCTGCGAGAGATCAAGGAAGACCCGTCGGTTCGTGTTCTCGCAACAGACAAAAACCTCGGACCTGCTCTCGTCTCCACCGAATGGGTAAAACAAGAGACTCTTAAACATCTTAATGACACTAAAACATATTCTAAAGTTACAGCAGATGACTGGACTTATAGACGTCTTAAGGTAATTGAGACTCGCGATAAACTCGTAAATAGTTTCTCGCACTTTTTACCCCTCAACTCGCATAAGTTTCTCCGCAGCATCGACAATGTTTCTAGTAGTTTCAATCCTGCTAAATTTTATATTATTCCCAAGATTCACAAGTCACCTATAGTGGGGAGGCCTATTGCGGCCTCTCACTCTTATATCACCAGACCTATTAGCATTTTTGTAGATGAGTTAGTTAAACCTTCTATTATTATGCCTACGGTATTACGTGACTCTGGTGAACTGATCCAATGTTTAGAGAAAGTTGAGCTACCCGCTAATTGCCTTCTTGTTACGGCGGACGTGTCATCACTTTACCCCAACATCGACACCAAGAAGGCTATTATTGCTCTTGACCTCTTGCTTAGAGAGAGCAAGGTTGCTCAGACTCCTCTATTGGTTCAGTTAACCAGGTTAGTCTTTGAGAATAATTTCCTCAAATCGGAATTTAGCAATGACATATACCATCAAACATTTGGTATTGCCATGGGAACTCCTTTCGCCGTAACAGCTGCCAACGCTTTTATGTATCATCACGAGAGAGACATTGTTGAGACGCATTCTCGGTATATCACTCTCTATAAGCGTTTCATAGATGACATATTTGTTATCTGGGCTGGCCCTCACGAAAATCTTCTAGAATTTCTTCATGCTATTAATACTAAGGACGAACGTATTAAGATAACTTACGAGATTAGCGAGTCTAAGATCTCATTTCTGGACTTACTACTTTTTAAAGATTCCGCGTCTAAAACGCTGCAATATTCTACCTTTCAGAAGCCGCTTAATAAGTATTTATATATACCATATGAGTCATTTCACCCCGCTAGCAACAAAAAAGCTTTTATTATAGGCGAGCTTATGCGTTATGCCAGAAATAGCTCTAAGTTTCACTCATTTAGTGAGACCCGCCTGCTATTCTGGAAGCGCTTACGTCTTAGGGGATATCCTGCTAAGTTTCTGCTACCCATTTTCAGGGAGATTCACTATAGCAATAGAAAGAAATGGTTCTCTAAGCCTGATAGGTTATCTAGACACAGACGTGTAGTATTTAAAACCTCATTTAATTGCAGTCACGTCGGAATCAAAAAGGTTATTCTTAAGTATTTACCTAACCTTAGTTCAATTGTTAGTTACAAATCTACTAACACGTTAGCACATCTATGTAAGTAATGTCTTTTTTCAAGTGTGTCATTCAACCATAAAATATCGGAGTGTTAATGAAGTTAAGATCGTCAAGATCGAAGTGCGTTGTGAAAATTTGTCATACCTAACCACTCGCTACTGGACGACTTACCATTTCTTTATCATAATTTGGTCAACTTCATTTTCAGTAATTGTGTATCCCACTGAAATTGCATTTGCCACAAGTTCGCAAAGAATTGTTGTCCAGGTGAAAAGAGTGGAGGGGGCAAGTGTTCCGCAACCAACACCTGCCCCTGACCACAACTCACATGTCACACTTACAGATGAAGAAAAATTAAAGCTAAACGAAGGTAAAAAAAAAGATGTGAACTTCGATTTTAGTATTTCAGATTGAATATGAAATTCAGTTGTGTTATATGAGTAACTGTGAAGAGCATTGCGTGCCAGGAGGGTCAGGAAGCCGATACTGACCCCATAATTACGGTTGATATCGTTATTTCCAGATGCTTTGGAAAAGTCTATTGACTTATGTGTTCTGTATCTGTATAGCCCTATCACAGCTATAGTAACGAATAAATGATTGTGGGAAAAAAAGAAGTTACGTTTAAAATGAATGTTAGAAATAATTTACGCTGCAAACATCAATTTGTTTTAAAGCATGACAAGCTGTAGCATAACATTTCGTTGTGAATATTATCCTCAGCTGTCTTCCCTTACGTGATTCTTTGCTTGTTTGAAGAGTTTGTTAGAAATTGAAGCTGAATAATTTATGCAGAAAAAGCATTCCGTTTTCTTTTATTGCCTTTTATAACTAAAAAATTTGAGTGACAGCAAGCTAGTTGAGGGAACGGCGGAAACAGTTAATAAAAAAAAGGAGAAAGTTACATGGGCCTGGAAAATCCAGTGTGGTTTGTGCAGCAAACACGTTCAACTTCGCATAGATGGGGGTCAGGCCGGCCGCATATCTTACTTTAAATCCCGTGATCAAAACAGTCACTGACTTTATTGATAGTTACTGTCAAACTCACAAAACTGTGAACACCAGAAATATTTATAGAATGTTATTGTGTTCAGAGAAATAAGCCAATAAGGCGCGAGATAACTAAACCACAAACAGCAACGGTGATTAGTTTGTGGTTTTGAGGTTTGCTTGCGTATCCTGAACTTTATTGTGATTGGCCAGTAGATAATCAACATTCCTGAAATTCTTCAGGTGTTACGATACGATACAAAGTCTTATTATTTTTGATTATCTAAACAGTCTGCAAACCGTGCAGAATTTACACAAGGGATAGCTATCGAGTTAGAAATCAAGTTTACGGTTAACGGCAGACCTTAACTTGAAAAGTAAGGAAACTGCAGGTATCCAACAGGTGTTTCAGAGAACGCCCATGTTTGTTTAGTGACAACCCTGTCAACACGGTTGCAGTCTTGTCCCTTGAATTGCTTTAACGCCTCTGTATTGACTATGTCGATTATTCAGGAAGGCTAAGACAGTACTGTAGCATTTCCAAGAACGTGTTTTTTCACTTGAATTGTAAAGTATGATAAAATTTAGAATTCAAGTTGACGATACCTAACAGTCCTAACAGTACTGTAATATTTCTTTAGACCATTTCAATACTTGCCAAAGCCGGAAATCAAGAAAGCGTCCACAAGCCCAGAAACCTTTGACTTCTTCCTTTGCAAGGAAAGCAAAAGAGGCAGACGTACAAGCTCCAGCTTCTGACTCTGATGTCGATGGTTCCGATACAGAGACCCACACAGAGGATGAAGTAGTGGATCAAACAGAACATCAAACTTCCTGCTTGGAAGGGTGTCCGCATTTGGTCGTGCTGTTAGATTTAATAGCAGGTTTATGTTTTCTGAAAAGAGACCAGTGTGTTTCTATACAATTTCCATGTCCTAAACTCCATGTAAACAATTGACAGAATTGGCTTCATCGCCTGATGGAAACTAGCAGCAAAGCAGTCGAATCTTCGTAAGACAGACAGATAACATCAATCTACCCAATTCCAAAAATACTGGACTTAAAGTATTGAGGTAAACATGTACCGATGCGCGGGCGAAAAAATAATTAAGCAAAACAGAAAATGAAGTTATGGTCGCTAATTGTGATGTTGAGAACCTGGACCATCAAAACTGACAATTGTTAGAAGGTAAGTCATAACGCATATTTCAATGATCAAGCAAAAAATGTCAAAAATCTCGTAAAAAAATGGGGCGGGATCAGGATCCAGGCATAAAAAGGGGCGGGATGGCGGGATTGAGAAGAAAAAAAGGCGGGAAAGCGGGATTTGAGAACCCCTATTGTGGACCTTCCTTTTTCCTTTTGGCCTGGGAGGTAAGGATTCTGCTCTAAAGTTCAGCACTTACATGTACCAGTTCTCTTTCGCCTTCTTTTTGTCTCGATTCAATCCTGAATTTTTTTTTTAAATAAGACAGAGCTATTGACTCAGCGAGGGTATATAAAAAATTGGATATTATCTTAAATGCAGTTACTGATAAAATAGAGGTCAATGTTTAAATTGCAATTGAATGTACTTTTCTCGTGATAGGACCAACATGCAGAAGAACTTCACGTTCCGATGAAGTGGCAAATTGCCAGTATCTCTTGCAGTCTTCAAGTGACCAGACGTGCATGCTGCCATTTTTTAACCATTCCTTCGAAGAGGTAATAAATTATTGCTAACAAAGGAAGGCTTAATCACCTAATTTTCTTAACAGTGCAAATCAAAACGACAATAGACAAATATTAACTACAATTTATTTACTCCCTTACTCTCCCTTTGTTATTTATTACAGTTAGCAGGCAAATGAAGACTGCAAGGGAGTGATTGTTACCCTAGTAAACAAAAGGAAAACGATTGATGAGAAGAGAAGAGATTTGTTGAGGCATGTAAAACCTTCCTTCTGTGATGATGCAAAAGCAGTTGCATGCATGTATTCAAGGGAGATATTAATAATTATTATTGTTATATACCAATACTGACTTTTGAAGTTTCTTATTGCAGGGTGCTTCACGAGATTTTATTTCGTGAAAATGATTTGTCCAGAGCACAATGCCACTTACTATATATATAAAACCTTTTTTGAAAGAACAGTGCACACAGGTGTAGTAGACTATAATATTAATAGATCTTTTGCTAGGGACTCATTAGGCCGTGTGGAACTATCAGGTAACACTTTTCGAATCACAAACATCTCTTTGTTTAAATAACAGGCAGCTGGATTAATGTCTTCATCAGAAATTTTTGACCAAACGTTTACTTGTAGATTATTTATCCTTGTTAGTTATGGACATTAAGGGTGGTGACCCTCGCATAGAAGGATACTTTTCCTGGTCCCGTCAGTGGGTAGAAGTCCTTCATTGTTAGGACAGGTAATTTAAGAGGAGCAAGAATTGCCGTGGTCAATGTCAATAATAATAAAATTTTAAACCACTTTCAAATGCAACCAAAGCTGTCACGATCGTGTGTGTGTGTTAGAACGATATGCCTGTGATACAACAGCACGTGCTCAAGGCTTATTAATGAGTAATGTTACAGTTATAGTGAGAAAAGATTGCCAAATGTCCTTAAATTCTTGGATTAACTCAAAACCCCAATACATGGAGTCTCAAACTGGAAAGCAAGGATTTTCAATAGCTTTTACATAAAGAGATTCAGCTGAAGGATTAGCTCTCGTGAGTACCACAAACAGCTAA